ATGGATTTGATTCACTAATAAACTTGGCCAGATTTCTAGAAATGAGAGCTGCTCCTTCCCAAGTGGGATGGATGCCATCTCTCCGAATCAGACCAGGTCTTCCCCAGAAGGTCTGCCAATGATCTACAAAGCCCACATCGTTTGCTGGACACCACCTCGACAACCAGCGGCAGAATGACGACATGCGGCTATACATGTCATCGCTAGTCAGATTTGGCAGGGGTCCAGATAAAACTACGGTGTCCGACATTGTTTTTGCATATGTACACACCGACTCAACATTAATCTTAGTGACCTCCGATTGGCGTAACCGGGAGTCATTACCGCCGACGTGAATAACAATCTTACTGTATTTACGTTTATCCTTAGCCAGCAGTTTCAAATAAGACTCAACGTCGCCTAGTGCTTGCTCTTGGTGGGAATTGTTGGGCTTCTGTAAATAACATCATAGAGTATGGTCTAGACCCGCTCTTTTATGAAAAGCGCTGTGAGATAACTGTTGTTGTGATTTGGCGCTATATAAATAAAATTGAATTGAAAACAACAAAACCAGACTCAGACCAGTACTGTTCATAAAACCAATGCTGATGTGTTTATTAAAATAAAAAAAACAATGAACAAAACAACTTAATTAAAAGACCTAAAATGATAAAAAGAGTTCTCAGTCATTTATAATAAAACTTGTAATAAAAATCACTGGGCAAGCCTTAATCTGTCCGGTTCTCAGTTAGTTATATACAGTCTATTTTCCCAGTCCAGTGAGGCCCACCAGAGTCTAATCTATTCCGCCACAGTTTCCTCATGAAGCATAAACTTTCTCAAACCTCTCACTATAATATGAAATGTCGTTGTTTTTCGCCATTGATTTGGTAAAGTATCTGTCAAACCAACTAAAATTGAAAGCACTATACGGCTTTGTTGCCTTATCAAATCAAAAAAGACTGCAATTTAATTTAAAGTATAGTTAAGTATAACAAATGAGATATTAAATCAGTATGAGTAAGTTATTTTAGGAGGTTAAAAAAGTTACTTTTACCAGTAATTTTACTTGCACTTAAGTAAAAGTTGAAAGTAATCATACTTTTACTTAAGTAGAATATTTTTGTACTGTACTGTATTTTTGCACCTTAAGCTGTTGTAACTTGACTGTACATGCTCAAATCTGTACCAAACTATACGTGCGTGATAACTGTCCCGCCCCGAACACATCTAAATGCCAAAATTCAGTTATAGTCATAGTGGCAAGTGCACTGTAGTAACACAAAGGGGACACAGGAAGTGACTTTAACACCGTTGTGCAGCATCTGAGGCGCATGGCAAATTCACAGGCGCATCGGCAGAGCTTCAGAATGTGCAACGCAGCCGCTACTGATGTGCGATACCACTTAATTCCAATACGATCCTATACCAAGTAATACCAGGGCTGGTATTGCCAATACCAAAACTTTTTGCATATTTTAATTCTAGTTTAATGTGACCTCCCTCCTCCTGTTTCTGTATTTATGAGAGAAATAAGGAGTAGTTCAATTAGTAATTCAAAATAATAGCTGCATAATGACAAGACATCAAACTACTGTCATATTCTTTAATTAATAATAAAAATATCCTGCTCAGAACTGCCGCTTCATAACATCATCCTATTATTTTAACTTAATCTCAGATGTTTAGTGAAGTTTGCAGTGTTGCCAAAGTATTTCACTGTCTTTGCACACACATCACACAGAGCAACATTATTACCTTCGCAGCTAAAATACAGCCAGACATGACTGTTTTTACATAGTCAGTATTCAATCGCGGGAAATGTAAAGGGCTGCAGCAGCTCGCTTCAAAGAAGCTCCATCACAGAGCCGTAGCGCAAGCATGACTATGACAGACGGAAGGAAAAGTAGTTCCTATCAACCCAGTAGCCTATAATTAGACCATCCTGGTGACAGTAAGATACTGATGATAAAACACACACTCCAAATTACTGAGTTTAGATATTGATTCATTTATATGAGTATCGATCCTAGAGCAGGAAACGTTGGTATCAGAAATAGATACTTTAGGATTGATCCGTACATCACTAGCAGCCACCTCACACCTCAACGTGCTACACGTGTGCGCTACACGTGCTTTCACAAGAGCAAAGACAATCAAACACATCAGACCAATAACAAGATACACAAATCTTGTTATTGGAAAAAGACACTTAAGAAATTTAAATACAGCTAATAGAAAAATAAATAAATAAAACTAATATCAGGGAAGGCTTTGTCACAGTGTGTGTCTGTTTGCTCTGTTTAGTTTAGTTCTCTGCCAGTTTTGTTATTTTGTCAGTTCTGTATCTGTCATTAAGGTCTGTTGTGTTTTGGTGTTCAGTCCTGTCTTGTGTTCAGTCTGCCCAGCATTAGTTTATTTACTGTTGCCTGTCTTTTAGTTTTGATCTGTGTTCTTGTTTAGGTTTTGTCTGTTATGATCTCTGTGTTATAGTTGGTCAGTGTTTGTCTGTTAACATGGGTTTCTGTTAATCTCTGTGGTTAGATTCTTGTCTGGTATTTTGTAACGTGTTCTGTTTGTTCCCCCTGTAATCTGCCTGCCTTCCAGTCTCTGTTTTGCCCTGATGTGTCTCTGCCTGCCTGTCTCAGTTTTCCCTGCTGTCTACCTGCCTGCCTCATTAGCCTTGATCCCTGCCACCTGTATTGCTCCCGCCCTGCTCGTTAGTCCCTGTTGTTAAATGTTTGTTGTTTCTTTTCAGTCTCTGTCTAGTCATGTGTAGTGTAATGTGTGTTCTGCCTGTTCTTGGAACTACCTGCTCAATTGTTTTGGATTTCTCGGCAACCTGTAAGCTTTATTGCTTGTTTCGGTTTGGATTAAAATCCCTGACCACACAACATCATTGTTCCACATCTTACCATAAACCACTACAAAAATCACTATATTTAACTAAATTTTACATAAAAATTGGCCAAACAATTTGAACGTTTGCTCAGTAGCTTTCACATCAGGTGTAACATTAGCATTATAGTTATTAGTGTTAGCCAGCCTTTACGACAACTCCGCACTTTAAAAGTCTGTGAAGTTACATTGCCGTGTTTATTTTAAATATAATTTACAACCAATAAAGCATACTTACAGGTTGTAATTGTGAATTTCCAGGCCCAGACAGAGTCGGAGTTGCATCGTCTTTTAGGACTAAATGTCGAACTGTTGCCGGTGTTCTGACGATCTATGCTGCCTTTCCGAAAAATGCTACCATAGCGCAAATCGATAGACTCGACTCTACTTGGCCCTGCTCTGTATTCCATTGCAGATAGTACCCAGAGATTGTATGTAGCTTGTCATTATAGCTACGCCACACACAACTGCTGCGACTTAATGTTCAATGCTACACACACACCAGCGATCCATTCAGCTTTCTCTTCAAGTTAAAACGTTTCAACATTCCTCAGAATGTAAAGACAGATAAGCGGTATAAAAACCTTCCAGCTGTGTTTTCCTCTGGCGTTGTTGCTACAGCGGTCTGTGTGACGGCGGGAGCAGAGGGCTCTGTGAGCGGGCGCCTGGCCGGCATCACACGCTCACATGCTCCAAAAATATTCAAGCACATTTTTGTTCCGCCATCTCTTCTCGTAAAACTGTCAATATTCAAAATCTACACAGCTGATTTCTCACCTCAAAACTTCTCAGAAGTGGATTTAGTGATAAAATTCCATACGAAAACTGTAAAATATAAAACTTTCTGTTGGTGGCCTCTGTCTGGTGCACGCAATGATGATGCAGTCAATAGTGATGATTCTCTCTGACCAATCAGAAGTCTGTCGTGTTTTCAATTACATTATGTTATCCCTCAGCTCGCTTGGAACTTGTACCTGGAAGCAGGCGGAGCTGTAAGATATGTGATTGGGCCGGCACAGTGTCAGTATAGAAATTTAACCAATGGGCCGCTGTCCATGGTTTATGGGCCAATCGTTTTAAAAAACAGTTATATAAATACATAATTTACGTTACACCGGTCCCAAAGGGGCGTCAGTTTGTCTGGTATGCCAGATAAGTCCAGCCCTGTTTAAAAGGGATTTAAATAAGTTCACTGACTCAGTGCCTTTATTTCCTCAGGCAGGCTGTTCCAGAGCCTCAGGGCCCTGACTGGAAACGCTTTGTCCCCTTTAGTATTCAGTCGAGACCCTGGAATAGAAAAAAGACCTCTGTACAAGCTGGTGCATATCCATGGATAACTATGACCTGGATGACTGAGAATCTTCACAGACATGCTGATGCATATGTGACTAAAAGGTCAGAGATATAGCAGGGAGAGAGGCCACGAAGAGCTTTCAATAATCAATAGAATTATAAAGTCTATTCTAAAACATACTTGTAGCTAGTGTAATGAAGCTAAAACAGGAGTACTGGAAGCTGAGCTCTGGACAGTCTGGAGTTGATCAATAGATGTTTGGGTCAAGCAAGTAAAAAGGCGTTTGCAGTCAAGGGCGTCACTTTGTGTTGAAAAGTGGTGGGGACATAACAGCTCAGATTAGGGGGGTGATGATACATTTGGGTCACGAGATGTGACAATGCATGAGAACAAGATGACAAGATTTTTAACACTATTTTGAAGAAATAATAAATACCAAAGAAATGAGCAATCTTTTTGTTTACTTGTCTCAAGTAGTACATAGTCATCATAGGGGATAGTTAGCATAATTGTTTTGGCTAGCTTAGCCAAAAATAGCTGGCTTATTATTATTTTCTTTTAATTGTGTGTAATGTCATTCTTGAATGTGCATTGTTCATTTTTGTTCACAGTCTTTAACACTTTAAAATTCCAATAGGTTCCTTTTTGAGCAGTAGATCTTACAATGCAGTTTGATGGCTCTTGTGTCTTTTAATTCCTCCATTTAAAAGGTTTTTCCATGAGTACTGAGCACCTTGTTTCCAGAGTATTTTGTGTCTTTTATCTTACAAAGCCTTGATAGACAAAGATCAATCAATAGAAAAGAACTAAACATAGAACAAAATAAATGTGCCAAGATTTTAGTGGGAAATTTATTAATTAAGTAATATTACACTATATGACATACATTCAATAATTCTTTGTTATAGGCAACTGCTGCATCATTATGCAAGACAAATCCAAACATGCAATGGTTTAAATACACCAACAAATATCAAAACAGCAACAGCTTAAAATCTGTGATTAGATAGTAAAAAAAAAAAGGATTATTTATTTGTAAATAATGTAATATTTTATATTGAATAGATGCATGGGAGTGGCAATACTCCCCCATGCCCTCATTTGCAAGTTAATGAAAGTAAATGTCACCAAATGCAGAAAAAATTTGTTGCTAACTCAAAAGATGAGGAAATAGAAGATAGTTAAACATTTTTCCATTGTTTTGTCATTTCATTGGGAGGTTGTGGAAATCCATCTGAAAATGTGCCCACTTATGAATAGTGAAGTTATGATTTACAGGATAGGCGCAGCATTTGCAGCTTGGCTTAAAGATCACACATGGCTTGCTAAAATGGACGTGGGGTATCTAACCAGCACAGTTGCAAATGTAATTTGGGATTACAGGGTTAGTTGAATACTCCATAATTCATTACAGGGATTTCTTTGTAGTGGTAGCTTTAGTGGTCGTGGTAGTGGGTTTTGGAGTTGTGGTAGCAGTTTTGGTGGTGGGAGTTGGGGTTGTAGTAGAGGCAGTTTTTGTGGTAGTGGTAGCAGCCGTTTTTGTCGTAGTGGGAAGAGATTTTGTGGTTGTAGTAGATGCAGTTGTTTTGGTGGTGGTAGCAGCTGTTTTTGTTGTAGTACTGGTAGTTTTGATTGTAGTAGTGGCCTGTTTTGTTGTAGTGGTGGGAGTTTTGGTTGTGGTTTTGGTAGGGGGGATTGTGGTTGTAGTAGAGGTTTTTGTCGTGGTGGGAGTTTTTCTGGTGGTGGTAGTGGTGGGAGATTTGGTTGTGGTTTTTGTGGTTATAGCAGGGGAAGTTGTTCGGGTTGTTTTGGTGGTGAGGGTTGTAGTGGTTTTTGTAGTAGTGGTGGGAGGTTTTGTGGCTGTAGTTGAGGATGTTTTTGTGGTGGTGGGCGTTTTTGTTGGAGTGGTGGGAGATGTTGTGGTAGTGGGCATTTTTGTTGTAGTAGGGGTAGTTGTGGTTGTGGTAGTGGGTGGGGTAGTTGTGGGAGTTGTGGTGAGGGGAGTTGACGTAGTAAGAGGAACTGTTGTGGTAAGAGGAGTTGTGGTGAGGGGAGTTGACGTAGTAAGAGGAACTGTTGTGGTAAGGGGAGTTGTGGTGAAGGGAGTTGATGTAGTAGGGGCAGATGTGGTGAGGGGAGTTGTAGTAGGAGGAATTGTTGTGGTGAGGGCAGTTGTAGTAGGAGGAATTGTTGTGGTGAGGGGAGTTGTAGTAGTGGGAGTTGTATAGGGAGGGGAGTTGGGGTCCCCTCTCTGTTCTCCGCTTGTTGTATTAGGAATTGTTGTAGTAGGTGTAGTTGTAGTGGTAGGTGTAGTTGTTGTAGGGGGCGTTGTTGTGGTAGGTGTTGTTGTAGGGAGTGTTGTAGGTGCAGTTGTTTCAGGGAGAGTTGTTGTGGTAGGTGGAGTTGTGGTAGGGGGAGTTGTTGTAGGGGGCGTTGTTGTGGTAGTTGGAGTTGTAGGGGGTGTTGTGGTAGGTGGAGTTGTTGCAGGGGGCGTTGTCGAAGAGGGAGTTGTTGCAGGGGTCGTTGTGGTAGGTGGAGTTGTTGTTGTGGTAGGTGGAGTTGTAGGGGGCGTTGTTGTGGTAGCTGGAGTGGTTGTGGTAGGGGGCGTTGTTGTAGTGGGCGTTGTGGTAGGTGGAGTTGTGGTAGGGGGCGTTGTGGTAGGGAAAGTTGTTGTGGTAGGTGGAGTTGTTGCAGGGGGTGTTGTCGTAGAGGGAGTCGTTGCAGGGGTCGTTGTGGTAGGTGGAGTTGTAGTGGTAGGTGGAGTTGTTGTTGTGATAGGTGGAGTTGTTGTAGGTGGCGTGGTTGTGGTAGGTGGAGTTGTGGTAGGGAGAGTTGTTGTGGTAGGGGGCGTGGTTGTGGTTGTTTCAGGGAGAGTTGTTGTGGTAGGAAGAGTTGTGGTAGGAGGCGTTGTAGTGGTAGGTGGAGTTGTTGTTGTGGTAGGTGGAGTCGTTGTAGGGGGCGTTGTTGTGGTAGGTGTTGTTGTAGGGAGTGTTGTAGGTGCAGTTGTTTCAGGGAGAGTTGTTGTGGTAGGGGGAGTTGTCGTAGTGGGCGTTGTGGTAGGTGGAGTTGTAGGGAGAGTTGTTGTGGTAGGTGGTGTTGTGGTAGGGGGCGTGGTTGTGGTTGTTTCGGGAGAGTTGTTGTGGTAGGGGAGTTGTGGTAGGGGGCGTTGTTGTTGTTGTGGTAGGTGGAGTTGTTGTAGGGGGCGTTGTAGGGAGTGTTGTAGGTGCAATTGTTTCAGGGAGAGTTGTTGTGGTAGGGGGAGTTGTCGTAGGGGGCGTGGTTGTGGTTGTTTCAGGGAGAGTTGTTGTGGTAGGAAGAGTTGTGGTAGGGGGAGTTGTCGTAGGGGGCGTTGTTGTGGTAGGTGTTGTTGTAGGGAGTGTTGTAGGTGCAGTTGTTTCAGGGAGAGTTGTTGTGGTAGGCGGAGTTGTCGTAGGGGGCGTTGTTGTGGTAGGTGGAGTTGTTGTAGTAGCTGGAGTTGTTGTAGGGGGAGTTGTTGTGGTAGGTGGTGTTGTTGTCGGGGGAGTTGTGGTCAGTGGAGTTGTAGGTGGAGTTGTTGTGGTAGGTGGTATTGTGGTAGGGGGCGTGGTTGTGGTTGTTTCAGGGAGAGTTGTTGTGGTAGGAAGAGTTGTGGTAGGGGGAGTTGTCATAGGGGGCGTTGTTGTTGTTGTGGTAGGTGGAGTTGTTGTAGTGGGCGTTGTTGTGGTAGGTGTTGTTGTGGTAGGGAGAGTTGTTGTGGTAGGGGACGTGGTTGTGGTTGTTTCAGGGAGAGTTGTTGTGGTAGGTGGAGTTGTGGTAGGGGGAGTTGTGGTAGGAGGCGTTGTAGTGGTAGGTGGAGTTGTTGTTGTGGTAGGTGGAGTCGTTGTAGGGGGCGTTGTTGTGGTAGGTGTTGTTGTAGGGAGAGTTGTTGTGGTAGGTGGTGTTGTGGTAGGGGGCGTGGTTGTGGTTGTTTCAGGGAGAGTTGTTGTGGTAGGAAAAGTTGTGGTAGGGGGAGTTGTCGTAGGGGGCGTTGTTGTTGTTGTTGTGGTAGGTGGAGTTGTTATAGGGGGCGTTGTTGTGGTAGGTGTTGGTGTAGGGAGTGTTGTAGGTGCAATTGTTTCAGGGAGAGTTGTTGTGGTAGGGGGAGATGTCGTAGGGGGCGTGGTTGTGGTTGTTTCGGGGAGAGTTGTTGTGGTAGGAAGAGTTGTGGTAGGGGGAGTTGTCGTAGGGGGCGTTGTTGTGGTAGGTGTTGTTGTAGGGAGTGTTGTAGGTGCAATTGTTTCAAGGAGAGTTGTTGTGGTAGGGGGAGTTGTCGTAGGGGGCGTTGTTGTGGTAGGTGGAGTTGTTGTTGTAGGGGGAGTTGTTGTGGTAGATGGTGTTGTTGTCGTGGGCGTTGTGGTAGGTGGAGTTGTAGGGAGAGTTGTTGTGGTAGGTGGTGTTGTGGTAGGGGGCGTGGTTGTGGTTGTTTCAGGGAGAGTTGTTGTGGTAGGAAGAGTTGTGGTAGGGGGAGTTGTGGTAGGGGGCGTAGTAGTGGTAGGTGGAGTTGTGGTGGTAGGTGGAGTCGTTGTAGGGGGCGTTGTTGTGGTAGGTGGAGTCGTTGTAGGGGGCGTTGTTGTGGTTGTTTCAGGGAGAGTTGTTGTGGTAGGTGTTGTTGTAGGGAGTGTTGTAGGTGCAGTTGTTTCAGGGAGAGTTGTTGTGGTAGGGGGAGTTGTCGTAGGGGTGTGGTTGTGGTTGTTTCAGGGAGAGTTGTTGTGGTAGGAAGAGTTGTGGTAGGGGGAGTTGTCGTAGGGGGCGTTGTTGTGGTTGTTTCAGGAGAGTTGCTGTGGTAGGGGAGTTGTCGTAGGGGGCGTGGTTGTTTCAGGGAGAGTTGTTGTGGTAGGAAGAGTTGTGGTAGGGGAGTTGTCGTAGGGGGCGTTGTTGTGGTAGGTGTTGTTGTAGGGAGAGTTGTTGTGGTAGGTGGTGTTGTGGTAGGGGGCGTGGTTGTGGTTGTTTCAGGGAGAGTTGTTGTGGTAGGAAGAGTTGTGGTAGGGGAGTTGTGGTAGGGGCGTTGTTGTTGTTGTGGTAGGTGGAGTTGTTGTTGTGGTAGGTGGAGTCGTTGTAGGGGGCGTTGTTGTGGTTGTTTCAGGGAGAGTTGTTGTGGTAGGAAGAGTTGTGGTAGGGGAGTTGTCGTAGGGGCGTTGTTGTTGTTGTGGTAGGTGGAGTTGTTGTAGGGGGCGTTGTTGTGGTAGGTGTTGTTGTAGGGAGTGTTGTAGGTGAAGTTGTTTCAGGGAGAGTTGTTGTGGTAGGTGTTGTTGTCGTAGGGGGTGTGGTTGTGGTTGTTTCAGGGAGAGTTGTTGTGGTAGGAAGAGTTGTGGTAGGGGAGTTGTCGTAGGGGGCGTTGTTGTGGTAGGTGTTGTTGTAGGGAGTGTTGTAGGTGCAGTTGTTTCAGGGAGAGTTGTTGTGGTAGGGGGAGTTGTCGTAGGGGGTGTGGTTGTGGTTGTTTCAGGAGAGTTGTTGTGGTAGGAAGAGTTGTGGTAGGGGAGTTGTCGTAGGGGGCGTTGTTGTGGTTGTGGTAGGTGGAGTTGTTGTTGTGGTAGGTGGAGTCGTTGTAGGGGGCGTTGTTGTGGTTGTTTCAGGGAGAGTTGTTGTGGTAGGAAGAGTTGTGGTAGGGGGAGTTGTCGTAGGGGGCGTTGTTGTTGTTGTGGTAGGTGGAGTTGTTGTAGGGGGCGTTGTTGTGGTAGGTGTTGTTGTAGGGAGTGTTGTAGGTGAAGTTGTTTCAGGGAGAGTTGTTGTGGTAGGTGTTGTTGTCGTAGGGGGTGTGGTTGTGGTTGTTTCAGGGAGAGTTGTTGTGGTAGGAAGAGTTGTGGTAGGGGGAGTTGTCGTAGGGGGCGTTGTTGTGGTAGGTGTTGTTGTAGGGAGTGTTGTAGGTGCAGTTGTTTCAGGGAGAGTTGTTGTGGTAGGGGATGTTGTCGTAGGGGGTGTGGTTGTGGTTGTTTCAGGGAGAGTTGTTGTGGTAGGAAGAGTTGTGGTAGGGGGAGTTGTCGTAGGGGGCGTTGTTGTGGTTGTTTCAGGGAGAGTTGCTGTGGTAGGGGGAGTTGTCGTATGGGGCGTAGTTGTGGTTGTTTCAGGGAGAGTTGTTGTGGTAGGAAGAGTTGTGGTAGGGGGAGTTGTCGTAGGGGGCGTTGTTGTGGTAGGTGTTGTTGTAGGGAGAGTTGTTGTGGTAGGTGGTGTTGTGGTAGGGGGCGTTGTTGTGGTTGTTTCAGGGAGAGTTGTTGTGGTAGGAAGAGTTGTGGTAGGGGGAGTTGTGGTAGGGGGCGTTGTTGTTGTTGTGGTAGGTGGAGTTGTTGTTGTGGTAGGTGGAGTCGTTGTAGGGGGCGTTGTTGTGGTTGTTTCAGGGAGAGTTGTTGTGGTAGGTGTTGTTGTAGGGAGTGTTGTAGGTGCAGTTGTTTCAGGGAGAGTTGTTGTGGTAGGGGGAGTTGTCGTAGGGGGTGTGGTTGTGGTTGTTTCAGGGAGAGTTGTTGTGGTAGGAAGAGTTGTGGTAGGGGGAGTTGTCGTAGGGGGCGTTGTTGTGGTTGTTTCAGGGAGAGTTGCTGTGGTAGGGGGAGTTGTCGTAGGGGGCGTGGTTGTGGTTGTTTCAGGGAGAGTTGTTGTGGTAGGAAGAGTTGTTGTTGTGGTAGGTGGAGTCGTTGTAGGGGGCGTTGTTGTGGTTGTTTCAGGGAGAGTTGTTGTGGTAGGAAGAGTTGTGGTAGGGGGAGTTGTCGTAGGGGGCGTTGTTGTTGTTGTGGTAGGTGGAGTTGTTGTAGGGGGCGTTGTTGTGGTAGGTGTTGTTGTAGGGAGTGTTGTAGGTGAAGTTGTTTCAGGGAGAGTTGTTGTGGTAGGTGTTGTTGTCGTAGGGGGTGTGGTTGTGGTTGTTTCAGGGAGAGTTGTTGTGGTAGGAAGAGTTATGGTAGGGGAGTTGTCGTAGGGGGCGTTGTTGTGGTAGGTGTTGTTGTAGGGAGTGTTGTAGGTGCAGTTGTTTCAGGGAGAGTTGTTGTGGTAGGGGGAGTTGTCGTAGGGGTGTGGTTGTGGTTGTTTCAGGGAGAGTTGTTGTGGTAGGAAGAGTTGTGGTAGGGGGAGTTGTCGTAGGGGGCGTTGTTGTGGTTGTTTCAGGGAGAGTTGCTGTGGTAGGGAGAGTTGTCGTAGGGGGCGTGGTTGTGGTTGTTTCAGGGAGAGTTGTTGTGGTAGGTGGTGTTGTGGTAGGGGGCGTGGTTGTGGTTGTTTCAGGGAGAGTTGTTGTGGTAGGAAGAGTTGTGGTAGGGGGAGTTGTGGTAGGGGGCGTTGTTGTTGTTGTGGTAGGTGGAGTTATTGTTGTGGTAGGTGGAGTCGTTGTAGGGGGCGTTGTTGTGGTTGTTTCAGGGAGAGTTGTTGTGGTAGGTGTTGTTGTAGGGAGTGTTGTAGGTGCAGTTGTTTCAGGGAGAGTTGTTGTGGTAGGGGGAGTTGTCGTAGGGGGTGTGGTTGTGGTTGTTTCAGGGAGAGTTGTTGTGGTAGGAAGAGTTGTGGTAGGGGGAGTTGTCGTAGGGGGCGTTGTTGTGGTTGTTTCAGGGAGAGTTGCTGTGGTAGGGGGAGTTGTCGTAGGGGGCGTGGTTGTGGTTGTTTCAGGGAGAGTTGTTGTGGTAGGAAGAGTTGTGGTAGGGGGAGTTGTCGTAGGGGCGTTGTTGTGGTAGGTGTTGTTGTAGGGAGAGTTGTTGTGGTAGGTGGTGTTGTGGTAGGGGGCGTTGTTGTGGTTGTTTCAGGGAGAGTTGTTGTGGTAGGAAGAGTTGTGGTAGGGGGAGTTGTGGTAGGGGGCGTTGTTGTTGTTGTGGTAGGTGGAGTTGTTGTTGTGGTAGGTGGAGTCGTTGTAGGGGGCGTTGTTGTGGTTGTTTCAGGGAGAGTTGTTGTGGTAGGAAGAGTTGTGGTAGGGGGAGTTGTTGTAGGGGGCGTTGTTGTTGTTGTGGTAGGTGGAGTTGTTGTAGGGGGCGTTGTTGTGGTAGGTGTTGTTGTAGGTGAAGTTGATTCAGGGAGAGTTGTTGTGGTAGGTGTTGTTGTCGTAGGGGGTGTGGTTGTGGTTGTTTCAGGGAGAGTTGTTGTGGTAGGAAGAGTTGTGGTAGGGGGAGTTGTCGTAGGGGGCGTTGTTGTGGTAGGTGTTGTTGTAGGGAGTGTTGTAGGTGCAGTTGTTTCAGGGAGAGTTGTTGTGGTAGGGGGAGTTGTCATAGGGGGTGTGGTTGTGGTTGTTTCAGGGAGAGTTGTTGTGGTAGGTGGTGTTGTGGTAGGGGGCGTGGTTGTGGTTGTTTCAGGGAGAGTTGTTGTGGTAGGAAGAGTTGTGGTAGGGGGCGTTGTTGTGGTAGGAGGCGTTGTTGTTGTTGTGGTAGGTGGAGTTATTGTTGTGGTAGGTGGAGTCGTTGTAGGGGGCGTTGTTGTGGTTGTTTCAGGGAGAGTTGTTGTGGTAGGTGTTGTTGTAGGGAGTGTTGTAGGTGCAGTTGTTTCAGGGAGAGTTGTTGTGGTAGGGGGAGTTGTCGTAGGGGGTGTGGTTGTGGTTGTTTCAGGGAGAGTTGTTGTGGTAGGAAGAGTTGTGGTAGGGGGAGTTGTCGTAGGGGGCGTTGTTGTGGTTGTTTCAGGGAGAGTTGCTGTGGTAGGGGAGTTGTCGTAGGGGCGTGGTTGTGGTTGTTTCAGGGAGAGTTGTTGTGGTAGGAAGAGTTGTGGTAGGGGGAGTTGTCGTAGGGGGCGTTGTTGTGGTAGGTGTTGTTGTAGGGAGAGTTGTAGGTGCAGTTGTTTCAGGGAGAGTTGTTGTGGTAGGGGGAGTTGTGGTGGTAGGGGCATTGTTGTGGTAGGTGGAGTTGTAGGGGGCGTTGTTGTGGTAGGTGTTGTTGTAGGGAGTGTTGTAGGTGCAGTTGTTTCAGGGAGAGTTGTTGTGGTAGGGGGAGTTGTCGTAGGGGGCGTTGTTGTTGTTGTGGTAGGTGGAGTTGTTGTTGTGGTAGGTGGAGTCGTTGTAGGGGGCGTTGTTGTGGTTGTTTCAGGGAGAGTTGTTGTGGTAGGAAGAGTTGTGGTAGGGGGAGTTGTTGTAGGGGGCGTTGTTGTTGTTGTGGTAGGTGGAGTTGTTGTAGGGGGCGTTGTTGTGGTAGGTGTTGTTGTAGGTGAAGTTGATTCAGGGAGAGTTGTTGTGGTAGGTTGTTGTCGTAGGGGGTGTGGTTGTGGTTGTTTCAGGGAGAGTTGTTGTGGTAGGAAGAGTTGTGGTAGGGGGAGTTGTCGTAGGGGTGTTGTTGTGGTAGGTGTTGTTGTAGGGAGTGTTGTAGGTGCAGTTGTTTCAGGGAGAGTTGTTGTGGTAGGGGGAGTTGTCATAGGGGGTGTGGTTGTGGTTGTTTCAGGGAGAGTTGTTGTGGTAGGTGGTGTTGTGGTAGGGGGCGTGGTTGTGGTTGTTTCAGGGAGAGTTGTTGTGGTAGGAAGAGTTGTGGTAGGGGGCGTTGTTGTGGTAGGGGGCGTTGTTGTTGTTGTGGTAGGTGGAGTTATTGTTGTGGTAGGTGGAGTCGTTGTAGGGGGCGTTGTTGTGGTTGTTTCAGGGAGAGTTGTTGTGGTAGGTGTTGTTGTAGGGAGTGTTGTAGGTGCAGTTGTTTCAGGGAGAGTTGTTGTGGTAGGGGGAGTTGTCGTAGGGGGTGTGGTTGTGGTTGTTTCAGGGAGAGTTGTTGTGGTAGGAAGAGTTGTGGTAGGGGGAGTTGTCGTAGGGGGCGTTGTTGTGGTTGTTTCAGGGAGAGTTGCTGTGGTAGGGGGAGTTGTCGTAGGGGGCGTGGTTGTGGTTGTTTCAGGGAGAGTTGTTGTGGTAGGAAGAGTTGTGGTAGGGGGAGTTGTCGTAGGGGGCGTTGTTGTGGTAGGTGTTGTTGTAGGGAGAGTTGTAGGTGCAGTTGTTTCAGGGAGAGTTGTTGTGGTAGGGGGAGTTGTGGTGGTAGGGGCATTGTTGTGGTAGGTGGAGTTGTAGGGGGCGTTGTTGTGGTAGGTGTTGTTGTAGGGAGTGTTGTAGGTGCAGTTGTTTCAGGGAGAGTTGTTGTGGTAGGGGGAGTTGTCGTAGGGGGCGTGGTTGTGGTTGTTTCAGGGAGAGTTGTTGTGGTAGGAAGAGTTGTGGCAGGGGGAGTTGTGGTAGGGGGCGTTGTTGTGGTAGGTGTTGTTGTAGGGAGTGTTGTAGGTGCAATTGTTTCAGGGAGAGTTGTTGTGGTAGGGGGAGTTGTCGTAGTGGGCGTTGTGGTAGGTGGAGTTGTAGGGAGAGTTGTTGTGGTAGGTGGTGTTGTGGTAGGGGGCGTGGTTGTGGTTGTTTCAGGGAGAGTTGTTGTGGTAGGAAGAGTTGTGGTAGGGGGAGTTGTGGTAGGGGGCGTTGTTGTTGTTGTGGTAGGTGGAGTTGTTGTTGTGGTAGGTGGAGTCGTTGTAGGGGGCGTTGTTGTGGTTGTTTCAGGGAGAGTTGTTGTGGTAGGAAGAGTTGTGGTAGGGGGAGTTGTCGTAGGGGGCGTTGTTGTTGTTGTGGTAGGTGGAGTTGTTGTGGTAGGTGTTGTAGGGAGTGTTGTAGGTGAAGTTGTTTCAGGGAGAGTTGTTGTGGTAGGGGGAGTTGTCGTAGGGGGTGTGGTTGTGGTTGTTTCAGGGAGAGTTGTGGTAGGAAGAGTTGTGGTAGGGGGAGTTGTCGTAGGGGGCGTTGTTGTGGTAGGTGTTGTTGTAGGGAGTGTTGTAGGTGCAGTTGTTTCAGGGAGAGTTGTTGTGGTAGGGGGAGTTGTGGTGGTAGGGGGCATTGTTGTGGTAGGTGGAGTTGTTGTGGTAGGTGTAGTTGTAGGGGGCGTTGTTGTGGTAGGGGGAGTTGTCGTAGTGGGCGTTGTAGTAGGTGGAGTTGTAGGGGGAGTTGTTGTGGTAGGTGGTGTTGTGGTAGGGGGCGTGGTGTTGGTTGTTTCAGGGAGAGTTGTTGTGGTAGGTGTAGTTGTAGGGGGAGTTGTTGTGGTAGGTGTAGTTGTGGTGGTAGGTGGTGATGTGGTGGTAGGTGTAGTTGTAGGGGGAGTTGTTGTGGTAGGTGTAGTTGTAGGGGGCGTTGTTGTGGTAGGTGGAGTTGTTGTAGGGGGCGTTGTTGTGGTAGGTGGAGTGGTTGTCGGGGTTGGAGTGGTCGTAGGGGGAGTTGTTGTAGGTGGAGTGGTTGTGGTAGGCGGAGTTGTGGTGGTAGGTGGTGTTGTGGTGGTATGGGGAGTTGTGGTGGTAGGTGGTGTTGTGGTGGTAGGTGGTGATGTGGTGGTAGGGGTTGTTGTGGTAGTAGGTGGTGTTGTGGTGGTAGGTGGTGATGTGGTAGTAGGGGGAGTTGTGGTGGTATGTGGTGTTGTGGTAGGGGGAGTTGTCGTAGGTGGAGTTGTAGGGGGCATTGTTGTGGTAGGTAGAGTTGTTGTGGTAGGTGGAGTTGTTGTAGGGGGTGTTGTTGTGGTAGGTGGAGTGGTTGTAGGGGTTGGAGTTGTAGGTGGAGTGGTTGTAGGGGGAGTTGTAGGTGCAATTCTTTCAGGGAGAGTTGTTGTGGTAGGTGGAGTTGTTGTAGTAGCTGGAGTTGTTGTAGGGGGAGTTGTTGTGGTAGGTGGTGTTGTTGTCGGGGGAATTGTGGTCGGTGGAGTTGCAGGTAGAGTTGTTGTGGCAGGTGGAGTTGTAGGCGGAGTTGTGGTGGTAGGCGGAGTTGTGGTGGTAGGGGGAGTTGTGGTGGTAGGGGGCGTTGTTGTGGTAGGTGGAGTGGTTGTGGTAGGTGGAGTTGTAGGGGGCGTTGTTGTGGTAGGTGTAGTTGTAGGGGGCGTTGTTGTGGTAGGTGGAGTTGTTGTAGGGGGCGTTGTTGTGGTAGGTGGAGTGGTTGTCAGGGTTGGAGTGGTCGTAGGGGAGTTGTTGTAGGTGGAGTGGTTGTGGTAGGCGGAGTTGTGGTGGTAGGTGGTGTTGTGGTGGTATGGGGAGTTGTGGTGGTAGGTGGTGTTGTGGTGGTAGGTGGTGATGTGGTGGTAGGGGGTGTTGTGGTAGTAGGTGGTGTTGTGGTGGTAGGTGGTGATGTGGTAGTAGGGGGAGTTGTGGTGGTAGGTGGTGTTGTGGTAGGGGGAGTTGTGGTAGGTGGAGTTGTAGGGGGCATTGTTGTGGTAGGTAGAGTTGTTGTGGTAGGTGGAGTTGTTGTAGGGGGTGTTGTTGTAGTAGGTGAAGTCGTTGTAGTAGGTGGAGTGGTTGTGGTAGGTGGAGTGGTTGTAGGTAGAATTGTTGTTGGTGGAGTTGTGTCAGGTGGAGTTGTTGTAGGGGGCATTGTTGTTGTAGGTGGAGTCGTTGTGGTAGGGGGCGTTGTTGTAGGGGGCGTGGTTGTGGTAGGTGGAGTTGTGGTAGGTGGTGTTGTCGTAGGGGCAGTTGTGGTGAGGGGAATTGTGGTGAGGGGAGGTGTTGTAATTGGAATTGTTGTGGTAAGGGGAGGTGTTGTAATTGGAATTGTTGTGGTGAGGGGAGGTGTTGTAATTGGAATTGTTGTGGTGAGGGGAGGTGTTGTAATTGGAATTGTTGTGGTGAGGGGAGGTGTTGTAATTGGAATTGTTGTGGTGAGGGGAGGTGTTGTCGTGAGGGGAATTGATGTAGTTGGAGGACTTGTAGTCAGGGGAGGTGTTGAAATGGGAGTTGTAGTGTGGGGAGTTGTTTTAGTTGTTGCAGTCGGAGTTTTAGTTGTGGTTGTGCTTCTGGTTGTTAGTTTGGTTGTTGAACGTGCTGTAGTGGGGCGAGTTGTTGTGGTTGTAGTTCTGGGAGTGGTTTTGGTTGTTGTACGTGGAGTTGTTTTGGTTGTTGTACGTGGAGTTGTTTTGGTTGTTGTACGTGGAGTTGTTTTGGTAGTTCTACGTGGAGTTGTTTTGGTTGTTGTACGTGGAGTTGTTTTGGTTGTTGTACGTGGAGTTGTTTTGGTTGTTGTAGGCGAAGTTGTTTTAGTTGTAGTGCGGGGAGTTGTTGTGGTAGATGAAGGTTTTGTAGCAATAGCTCTCTTAAATCTCTTTCCTTCATGTTGGTTTTCAGTAGACACTTCATATCTGGTATTGGCAGGTGTAGTGGTTTTGGTTTTTGTCGCAGTGGATGTCAGATTGCGTGTGGTAGGATGGGTAGTAGTTGTAGTGGTAATGCCAGGAAAACCTAAAATTGGCAAGAGTTAGATTTTGCTTGATTATCACATCATATGAGCATAATTGCTGAAATTTCAAATAGAAAGAATTTACTTCGGCACACTGCATAGGAAAATGGATTAAAGTAAATAAAATGTAACTACATTAATTATGATTTTATTATTTCAAACAGCCCATAAAATCCACCACCCCATAAAGGGATAGAATAGACACTTTTTGCATATGTTTACCTGGAACCAGGAGAGTATGCAGGTGGCTGATAATAGGGTAATTACCCTGTTTACAGAATTGTCCACTAAAGTCATCCAGGTCCAGTGACCAGACAAAGGCTCCTCCAAAGTTGTTAGTTTTTAGGTAATTGACCTGAGAGGTTGAGGAAGAAAACACTTCATCTGAAGTAATGTGGACAAAACCAGATTTGCACACAACCAGTCATATACAAAAATGTTACTGAGCAATAGCTTAAATTAAAAAGATGATTACCTTAGTATCAAGGCTGTTTTTGTTGTCAAATCCAACCCACTGATTATTTTTAGTGGCATATGGAACTTTCTGATCAGTTATCAAGTGGATTTTAACATCTTCAACATAAAGACAAGTCTGAAAAGAAACTTCAAATGTCATATTTAGGTCTAATGTGTTAATAGCAACAGATATGTGTTACACTAAACAATACAGTCAAAGCAGTTATCTTATTATAAGGCTATAGATATTAATTGCAGTGTTACCTCATAAGAGGCCCAGAATCCGTCTTCACCGGTGTAGTAGCCTGCCACCCCAGCACCACTGACTGGTGCTCCAACATCAGTGGAAGCAGAGGAGAGGCTAAAGACTCGCCCATAGGCAGCTATACCCAGGTTTAGCTTTTGAGTGAGTGCTCCCTGGTCCCGCCAATATTGCATGGCAGAGTCCTAAAATGTAGTGAATTAAAAACAATTAGCATGAGATATAAATAAATTTTTTTTATTGTGGGTAAAATATGAATCCCTGTACTTGCAGTGTTAGAGTAGAGTTTGTCTGCAGTGTCATGGGATCCTCTGTATAAGGGGCTGTGATGTCCTGTGACATTTTCCCAGGGGCCATGAAAGTCAAATGTCAGTACATTAATGAAATCCAGGTACCTGAGAAAATGCAGATGAGATCACATTTATCAACAGATGATAAAAGCTAATGACTGCTATAATGTCAAGAATTACATTAAATAAGTTTTACGTGGCAATCTGTGCAACTTCATAACAGGCACGGATGGTTGCTTTCTCCGCAGAGACACTAGCAGTGATGATTAATCTGTCACGGTTAGCTTTTGTTGCCTCTTCCTCAAAGGCATCTTTGAGATCCTATACAACACATGATTCAGTGCCTGTTAAGTATGCAATCTAATATTTTCATGCATTGCATAAACAGTATGGCATACAATATTTCTGACAGTGTCTGTCCCAGGAAAAACAAATTCAATCTCTGACCTTGCATAGCAGTGTGAACCTCCTCTTGTCCTGTTTTTGGCATCTAGCTCCTCTAGGGAGTCTCCAGTCAAGGTTTAGCCCATCAAACCCATTTTCTCTCAGTAGTGTGATAGCAGACTGGATGAACGTTGCTCTGTTTCGTGCTGACACCCTTGTACGAAATCTGGCAAACATTTCAACAAAACAGTCCTCTCAAAAGGACACTCCACATACTGCAATTAGGGCTATGATTTAGTACTAGAAACACAAAGACCAGAGTAAAGAACAAAGTCACGTGTACAAAAACAAATATACGCCTTAGCCAAATGTTCTGGTTACTATTGTTTTCACTCATAATTATCATGAAAATGATCCAGACAATTATCGATGTGCAGCTACTTATTAGACATCAATACATTTTGTACAAATGTTAGTAAAAAGGGAAGAAAAAGACAAAATGCATGTTAAAATGTTTTGGTATTGGCCTCTAGTGATTCATTTGGTTCCACTGAGTTTGCATTAGTTTTAATACAAACATCCAACACATTTTATTTTTGGTTGAAAAAACAAAATAAAAAAACAAACAAAATAAAAAAAATAATTGTGCTTAAATATTTGAATGCAAACCGTATTTTTACTTGCTGTATTATGTTTAAGTATGTATTTACATATTTTGTTTATGTCTGTTGATGAATCAGGCAATTAAATTATTTACGGACATTCTCAAATTTGTTGGGACCC